ATCACCTCAGCAATGTATCTTCTATTTTATTTTGACTACATCCTAATGGGAACTGACCCAAAGCATCTGTCTCCTGGACCAAACTGCAGATTACCAGTAGAAACAAAATTACGAGCAATACAGGTTTGCATTAAAATAAAAAAAAAATTTAAAAAAATCTCTCTTTCATATACAGGATCTACCACCTGTCAAAGGCAGGGAACAATTTTCCCTTTGTAGAAGTGGCTGCAACTCTTGTCATTACCCCACAGGGTGCCAGAAAAACAACAGCACAGCAAACTGCTGAAAAATTGCTTGAGATGAATGCAGCCTCCCAGCTGAACTACACTGCTACTTACTGAGGTACAATAAATACAACAGGGCAGCACTTCTTCAAGTGCAGATGTACGTGACTGCACAGGCATCACAAACACAAAACGCACATGATGGCAAAATCAAAATGCGTGGTGGCCATCATCCTTGTAAATACCCTCTATTTTCTGACTTCTCAAATCCCCATCAGCTCATTGTTTCCCAGGCAGTCAAAGGGTTAAACACCTCCCATTACTGGTAGCCCTATCACTTCCTTGCTCTAATTACAGATGAAGATAAATTCAAAGTGAGGAAACAATTCTTTCATGATTTTCCATACATTCATTCATAACATGAGATGTTGTGCTTGTTGGGAAATGCAAAATCTTTAATTTTGGAACAGCTGACGTAACTGAGAAAATGTAACATGCTCCTGGGATCACAAGCAAAGCAGCACCAACTTCAAACTAGACATAGGTAAGAAGTGATGACTAATAATGCAACCTAGTTATGTTCATCAACTGAACTCAAGAGAACTTGAAGGGAAATAGCTCTAGAGAAGCAGGAAAGATGACAGGGAGCCTGTTTAATTATTTACAGGTACTCACGAATCCCATGCCTCTCCCCAGGACGACACCTTAGTTTTTATTATAATATATTGGTAAAACATAAAAGTCTGATTCAAATCTCTAAGGAATCCAAATTGCTCCCTCTTCCCAATTCCATTGATGGAAAGTTAGAAAATAATCCAAATGTCCTGATTTAGCCTGACCTCTGCTTCAACGATAGCTGAAGGCAGCAGACATCCTTAGGCTGGCTCAGAAGCCTTTCATCTGCCTGGCAGGGGAGCGCTGCAAGACACAAATGCCACCGAAACTGCACTGCAGGGAGTGGACAAAATCTCCTTCTTGGACAACGTGACAACAACTGGTACACACGAGAAAGCCACCACCTCACAGGAACTCTGTGCTCAGTGCTGTAGGGACACAGCACAGCAGCTGTCAGACACTCTCTGTTTCCTGAGGCACATCAAACCAGCTGTGCTAGCACACCCTTACCTGGCACGTGAAGAAGCTGCAGTATATGCAAATTACTCTTAAACCATTCATAAAATACAGGTAGAAAGCGTAACTAAGACTTACCAGGTTGGCACAGTTAGACTAAGGCATACAAGCAGGACTACAGAGATTCGTTTAAGTAAGGTAAAAAATCCTCAACTCATCTGGAAACTGAAGCATCACAGCACCCAGCCTTCCTCACTTTTTATCATAGATTTTTTACAGTCAACTGAATGGAGAAGAGAAGGCAGATGGGAGACCTCATCACCACCTACAACTACCTAAAGGGAGGTTGTAGAGAGGTGGGTGCTGGTCTTTTCTCCCAGGTGATGGAGGATAGAACAAGGGGAAATGGCACCAAGCTGTGCCAAGGGAGATTCAGGTTAGAGATAAGGAAGCAGTTCTTTACTGAGAGGGTTGTCAGAGGCTGGAACAGGCTGCCCAGGGAGGTGGTGGAGTCACCATTCCTGGATGTATTTAAAGAGTGGGTAGACGAGGTACTTAGGGATATGGTTTAGGGGGTAGACAGGAGCGGTTGGACGTGATGATCTCGGAGGTCTTTTCCAACCGAGCGATTCTGTGATTCTGTGTGTGATTCTGTGAGAAAGCACTGCCAAAGGATGAGTCAAACCAACCTGGTATTCTAGGATGAGATGACTTGCCCTCAGGATATAATTATGCTCTTTGTGCCCAAAGTGACCTTGTCAGACATCTGCACTGAATGACTTGACAGTTACATCAGAGCAGACAAACGCTAAGGTACTGTCTAGGAGGTAATCCCTAGGAAAAGATCAGGAAAAAGTATACAGAAATAAAGTGTTTTGCCCCAAATGATGCAGCATGGCCAAGACCAACATGGCAGGAGACAGCAAAAAAATAAGATCTAGAAGGTTACAGGATAAATAACATCAAAAAGGTCTTTTCCACTGAGGCTGGGTAAGGCCCTGAGTGTTTACAGGAGAATCATCAGACCTGAAGCAGTAAGAACAAAAGGAGCTACAGAAGCAAGTTATAACTATGTATAATACCACCTCTTTCTTCTGTCATGTACAAACCTAAGAAGTTGAATTACAGACACTCTCCTTCACTACTTTCTCTCTTTGTGTTTTTCTTCACCTTTTGAAGAAATGCTCTTGGTAAAGAGCAGTGCATGACAAGGAGGTACCTGGCTGTTCCTTGCCATAGCTGTACCGGAGCTTTCATTCACTGGAACTATCTGACAGGCACCACAAAGCACTCTTTAATATTATGCAATGCACTTTTCAATTAAGCAAGAGGCTGCATATCTCTGCTCAGTATCCCTGGTGGTTTTAGATAAGCTTTTCACTTGTTCCATCTCCAACACTTGTTTGGCACAACAGTAATTTTTCCAGATGAGAGAGAACCCAGTGATCATAAAGAATGAATTATTTACAGCAAGATCAGTACTCCACGTCTTCACTAATTGCATTTAATTGAAAATACCACACTGAACATATGCACAATGCTCTTCAGGTTCACAAAAGCCTTAAGTGTTTTTAAATAGTACTGAAAAAAGGAAAACACTGAGGATCAGTAACAGGAAACAACACCTTGAACTTGCAGAGCATTGACTCAAATCAAGCCAAAGTTAATCAAGGCTAAAACACATTATTTGCTAATTGGTTGATGGGAACAGGTAATCCACTTTTCTAATGGGCATATGGTAACAAACCACCACCAAAGTCAGAAGCCCCAATTAAAACTATGCACATCGGACTGAACTTCTTGCTGTAATTTAGCTTACCTATGCTCTGTCTTCACGGAATCCCACTGAAGCAATGCTGTTGACCTAGAAAAAAAAAGCGTTCTTTACAGTGCTTTTCAATAGATTTTCAAGGCATTTTACAAGCCAATAAAATGAACAAAGCAGAAGAACCAACTTCACAACACTCATTAAGCAACCAGTAGCAAAGCTCAGGACCAGTTTAGGCCCAGGTTCACTGTTCTGTTTAGTAAACTTGCAGTTTCACTAAACGTGGCAAGTGAATCCAGCAAACAGGAATAGAGAGTTTTCTGCAAGGTTAGTGTCAAATCACCTCACAGAGGTGTCCTGTGATTGCCAGAGCCTGCTCAGCGGACAAAGCAGTACTGCAACCCCTACAGCAACAGCAAGCTGTTAGAGCAGCAAACATTATCCTCACCAGGCTCCAGAAATCTGCCCTGATGCATTAGCTATGAAGGCTTCTCCTTAAGAAATGAGGCTTTGCAAAAGTGTACAAGTAACTGGTGGTGTGCAAGTGTGTGGAGGCAGAAGAGATACCTGCTGGCCCTTCTGGCTTTAGGTCAATTCCTTTCTCTGTCCAAAGAGATTCAAAACCAATGCACGTGCTTCTTTTCAGGTAAGCACCCAAAACAGCAGGTTAGGGAATCAATTTTCAACTTGCTGTTCACAGGTCCTTGTGGTTATTCATTAAGTACTTGCAAGGAATCCATAAAACGTAATTGAAAAGGCAAGCTTACTTGCCAACAAGCTTCAATTAGCCCAGCAGCAGTCAGCAAGACAGAAGAAAGAGGACAAACACATCCATTAGTTTTCTTACTGTTGATGTTGATTTTTTTATGAAGAGTGAACATTAGCACATTTCCTCATCTGTTTTCAAAGCGAGTCTTGCGTGCTTTTTGAAAAAAGTTTCTCTCCCAAAAAATGGGTTCCTATGCCTTATGTCAGAAGTGCAGAGCAAAAACAAAAAGCCACCTCCTACTAACTCCAAGATATCTCAATGCATGCTAAAACTGGAACATGGGAATGCTGGGGATGTGGCACAGTTACCATTTTGTAAGCACCAAGCGAGGGTGCCAGTGTTTCAGCCCACAGCTGCTCAGTGCACTAAGTGTGTAAATCTTCCTCTGAAGCCTGTGTCCAGCCACGTTGTGCTCATGGTTCTGGATTCTGCTGTACAGGCCAGAAACTTAAGTAGTCGGCAGGGCAGTGACAAACTTGAAACACAGATTTAAACACAGACAAGCTGATGTAACACTGAAACAAGCTGGAACAGCACATTATACTAGATCACCCATTTCCTTCTTAGTGAGAGGACTGTGCAAAGTAAGCTTCAATGTGTTCCTCCCAAAAGCTGAGCTTTAAGTTCAAAAGCATTCAGAACCAGGCTTGAGTCATGGAGTCCCATTTTGCTTAATTTCTAATTTATGCTAAACAACTAATTGCTTGGTCTCAATCTCATGCAAGTTAAAACCAAATTGATGTGTTTTGCAAAATTCTTACTGGGCTATGCAAACCATTACAAAACCTCTGCTGACAGAAATCAGATAAATACCAGCATAGAGAATAGGATTTCCTACTCTATTTATATTTAAACCATAGAAGAACAAACAAAGTGTCCACAACACAAGAAGACGTACCCATAATACGGTAGTTAAGCCCTGAAGCAGGCTGCTAGAAATGTTGAGGAACCTCCATTCACAGAAACTTGAAACTGGACTGTCCTTGAGCAACCACACCTGACTTCAAAGTGAGCCCTGCACTGAGCAGGAGTCTGGACCAGATGTCTCCAGAGGTCCCTTCCAGCTCCTGTGTTACTGTGATTCCAAGTACATTGACATATAAATGGAAAGCTAACCTTGTGAAACAAAATGGATGAGTACATAAATCATGACAACCACAAACATTCATAAAGATGTTAACAGCTTTTATTTCACTGGTGCAAGGCCCATGTGTCATCCACCACTCACCAACATCAAAACAAAACATCTTCTTCTATAAAACAGTTTCAGAAAACCCAAAGCAAAGTAACAGTGGCTATAATAAACTTCATACAATACTGTAAATCACTTAGCTTGTGTCATCCAAACAAGAACAAATCAAGTTTCTAGCATACATGGCTTTTTTTTTTGCCAAAAAAATACCAGCACAACTCCAATACATGCCTCACACCTGGAAATGCGTAACATCACTCCATGACATTGACAGCTGTTCGTGCTTAGAACTAGTCATCAATTTACCCTACCAATATCTTAAAATACAAAATGATATGAAAAACCTACATTTACAAAGTACAGTCCCAATCCTGCAATCTAATCCTTCTGGGCAGGTACCTGCAACCTTTCCAACTCCCCTGAAGGCAATGTGGTATTTAGTGCTCCATTGCTGAAGATTTGATTGCAGAATCAGGGCACAAGTGGGAAAGGTTTACATCTTCCCACAAGCAGTAAAACACGGCCTTATTCTTCTAGATTCAGTTTCAGTAGTATTTGCACAACCTCCTAAACCGAGACTTACCTATTTTCAATTACCTCACATTTAGGAAGAAAGAAGGATAGGCTTTAAAGTAGTCAGCAGAGAAATGGCTTGTACTGAAATGACCTGGGGCTGTAAGTTGTGCTTTAGTGCACTGTGGTGATCCAAATGCTTCCAAGAGTTAACCACATCCTGCTTCTGTATTTACAGTATCTGCTGCCGTCCTCTGCATTATGTGAGTTTCTTCACCAGCAAGATATCAGAGATCTTGTTTCCATCAGACGAGCATTATGACATGACTCCAAAAACAGGATTATGACGACAAATACTAGGGCCATACTCTTCATAGTCTTTCTTGGTGTGACATACTTGGAAGAACTCTGGCTATGAAAATATAAAGCAAATCCCTCAAAAGCATAAGCATATATCAAGTAGAAAAATCAACAAATAAACTAATGCCTTAACATTTTCGTAGATTACAGCTTTATGATGTGGTATTGCATTTTTTAAATAGAATAAAATGTGAAATATTAGGATATGAATACAATTAATCAAGACTAGTTTGTCTGGATAGAAGACTGCTTTTAAACACAGCAATAAGAAACTCCACTTCAGAGATAGGAATTGCTCTCATTTTCCTGTATTTGCTTCTCTCTCAGGTTTAAGACCACCGACTGGGACCCCATATCCCTGAAGTCCTAACTAATCTCTAGTGCTGACTTCAAGAATAAAGGCACTAGATTGCAACTATCATATAAACACTACTTCAGAATTATGTCAAATCATGACAACCTTACTCAAGTAAAGCTCCCACCTGCCTTGTTCAAATTTTACCGATACAAGTTTGATAAGAATGTGACACAGTTTAGGCTGTCACAATGAAAAGGCTTAAAACTTAAAACAACATGCATCAAAAAAGACACCCAAAAACCCCACAACAACTTTCATAAATACTTACTGTTGAAGCCAGCATGGAACCGCCAAACCAAACTGCGTAACGCTGCATGTGGTGTGTTATCACTTGTACTTCAACTGGTTTGGGCTAAGAAAAACAGGTTTTATTAGGTTTATGTTTTCTGGCAAGATTCTTTCAAACTGAAAACGCTCAGACCCAGACACCTTCACTCCTCCATTCGCATCACCATCTAAAACTTATTACTCAGTCTGCCATGAGCAGTAGGAGACCAAGTCATAAAACTCTTTGTGATTAGCTGAAGGACACAATTAAATTTCTCTCATCTACTGCTAAGACCACGTATCTTCTAGAAGGGAAACCATAAATGCTCTTAGAGACTACTCACAGTAACTTTAAGATTCCTGTAAAGACATGTCATACATAAGGCTATCAGCACATTTAACACCACATACATATATACTGCTCATTTTACAACACTGCATTTTCACTACTGAGGTGAACATTTTGAACTTTATCTCTTTCACTATCCACGTAATTAATGCACTTGAAACATTTACGTACTTTTATTCGTCCACCACTGAGTTCCTCACTAAGTCGCAATCTTGCATCCACTACTCTTTTCAAATCCCTTTGCAGTCGTCGTCCAAAGTCCCTGAACATCGTGGATCCTCCTGAGAGGACCACATTCTGTGCAGAAATAAAGACACATTCTTTAAAGACATCTATCTTCAAGCAAGTTTCCCAAAAGTCAACACTGCAGAGGTGACAATATGGACCTTAACATATTAGGAAGCTGCAAAGCAACATCTTAAGCATTGCTCAACTTCCATAGGAGGTCCGTGGTCCCATTTTCTATTTTTTTCCCCCTTTAAAAGAGTTATATGTAGAATAAGTTATTGCAAAAGAGAAGGATTCCCTTAAAATGGTGAGCTAGTACCCTACGTGTGCAGAGTAGCAGAAATAAGACACTACATCAAGAAGTTTCCCAGGGATGCTCACAGTAAGCAGTTTTAGCCCTGATACCAAGTAAGGCTTTATCCTCATTGCATTACTGTTAGTGTCTTTCCAAAAGCTATAAAGTTATCTAGAACTCTTTTTTGTATTTTAAGAGTTAAACTTCTAAATAGAGCAACGACTAAATCCAATGGTTCTTCAAGAAGGTACCAGACCTCCAAAGAGGACTGCAGCACAGAGAAAGGTACAATGCCTTTCATCATCTATACCTGCTTGCCTGGAATTACTTGGTTTTCAGAACCCAAAGTCTCTTAGCCTGGACTTGTATTTGGATTCTAAACAGGGGGTTTCGAATGTCCCAGCCTTAATTCTGATAATGTTGCAGAGTCGTAGACTAATGCAGAAGTCATTTCAAAGGGCAGGGAGAAAACAGGAAACCTAGAAGATAACATTGGTGGCAGCAAAAGTGCATTTCATTATCAGAAAAATGAACTCTGTGACCAAACTGCATGCATACCCTTGCATCCTGCTGCAACTGCAGACCAAAATGCCCATCAGTGCTTACTAGAGCTACTCATATGCCTGAGACATGTCCACAAGGAACTCAACTGAGATCATGAGTTCATTGTTCACAGATCAAAGGATTACCTCTCAGTAACAGTTTGATTGCTTGTTTCAGGTTTTTTTGTTTGTTTTGTTGTTGCTGGTTTTTTGTGGTGGTTTTTTTGTTTGCGTGTCTGTGTTTGTTTTTTTACACTGCAGACCAAGACTGTGCACATTATGAAAGAATCCCTGAAGCACGAGCCAGGAAGCCTGCGCACAGATCTGAAGAGTCAGATGTGCATAATAAACATTCACACTTGCAAGGTGTAGAAGTAACTGCTTGGATTTTAAGCAACAGATAACAAGGATGATCTTGTTTGTAACTTGTAAAGTGAGAAGAAAGCTGTTTGTTTATTCATGGAGAAAAAAAAAAAACCCTCTGCATATCATAAAAACCAACACAGTAGGAAAAACTCATTTCTTCACATCTTCAGATTCTCTGCAGTATAAAAGAGCATATAACAAGGCAGGTATGCTTAAAAGAAAAGCACACTTCCCTGTAACATTACTGAAACATTTCCCAAAAGAAAGAAGATGACAAAGAAGAGAAATGGAGACAGAAACCACAACTGATCCCAAAATTAAACCAGAAGAGAGATTCCCCCTGCTTCCTCCACACACAGGAACATCTCTTCCCCTGCCTCAAAGTGGTCACGCACTCCACATGGGAAAAGAAAACTGCTAATGGGGAAAAAAGACAAAGACAACAACCAACCTGAGTGATGAAATAGCAATTAAAAAGATGCCATCAGAAAATATTACCTGGAGATAATGAAGTTGGTGAAGACAGTGAAAGCAATAATTTTATTGAAAGCAAATTAAACTTCAAGTATACTCCATAAAGTGGACAATGCTACCACTAAAAATAGATTTCAGAATACACCCGAGACCAACTCATGTAACTACAGAGTAAGCAGTAACACTGGGAGCATCTTTTATCTTCTTTTTAGAAGCTAAGAGGTTACATCTTCCTCGGGTTATGATTTTTTCAAGTACTTCTACACCCTGAAAGAAGTTCACCAGTAATACTGGTCAAGGAGAACAGAAGCACTAGGCTATACCTGTTGAAAAAATGAGTCGTCTCATTATCACATATGTGCACAAACGAGGCCAAGCAGAATTTTGTATATAACTAACTAGGTGACACCAACTGCCATTATAAGATGAATTATTACACAGTTACAGTTCCCCTGCTCCCTACACTTTCTGACAGCACTGGGCCAAACCTGCACAAACTCTTTAGCAGAAGCCTGCTCAGGCATAGACTTCAGTAAATTATCAAACTCAGCAGGTCAGATTTGTGCAAGGTCAGAAGCCAGGCACCCCTCACTCATAACAAAAGCGGAATCCATACATATTCCCACCCCTCAAGCAACACACCCACCACTTACAGAGAACCTAATGAAGGTGGGAAAAGACTATCAGATAAAAAAAACCAAACCTCAAACTCCCTATAAACAACTGAGAAACCACAGCACCAGCAAATACCCTCTCTAGAACCAGACTGTAACACAACACAGTAATTCCAGTAACTACTCAACGAAAAAGCTAACAATGAAGCATGCTAAATACATCTGGAGAAAGCTTACTGGTTATGCTTGAGTTTTCAGCCTGCCCAGAAATTCTCTGGCCTCCCAGAAAAAGCCATTGAGGAAGTCAGGATTTAAGTTTCTGTTTCCAGCTGATTCCTTTAAACAAGACTTCTTCTGATCTTCCTCTGCTCAAACCCACTTTGGCTGGTTTAACAGCTCAAAGCAGACCACCGGTTTCACAGCTAACGCTGATACCATCTGACAGAAAGAAGCTTCAGCTGATTTTTGCTTTTATAGCTGACTGGTTGGAAACCTAAGTTGTTTCAAAAGAATGTATTCCCTTAGAAGAAAGGGATGAAAACATCCATGCACCTGAAAAAGCTAACCACAAGCAAATAATGAAAGTGAGCCATTTCTGGAAGAAAACCTCATCTCAGAGGGCTGGCAAGGAATTTCTCACTTTTCATCCATACTTTTTGCTTCTCTTATGAACTCTGGGATATTGAGTCTCTCTCCACACCATTTCTGGTATTGTGCCTGTACAGTGCAATGCTGCAGAGATAAGAGGCCATCTAAGAAAATAACCCAGTTACAGTAACAGAAATCTCTGTCTAAATAAAGTTTACATAAAGATTACAAAAAGTTAAGTTAGCTTCTGCAGAACTCAGTTCTACCAAACACAAGGTGCTCAACTGGTTTGTGCATCTTTATACCTATAACATGGTATAAGCACACTCTCAGCTGGACACTTCAGACTTTGCAGCACCCAACTGAGAATCACCCATTGCTTTTCTGGTTATTTCCCTTCCTTCCAAATGACAGCGTAAATTAAAGTTGTTTACCATGACACAACCATACCACCAGAGACATAACAAGAGCAATATATGACCACTAATAAAAGTTATTATGGATAAAAACGGTAAGGCTCACAAGTTGAAGCCAAGCACTTCATGAACAAGAGAATTAATTAAGCTACGTGCCTCTGTTTATTTAGTTAAAACAGGGCAGTATTTGCCATCATTATATGGAAAGTATAAGGAGAACTATTATACATAACAACAAATATGTTACAAAATTAAATGTTCTGTGAGAAACACTATTTTTAAATGTTTGGCTTTTAATGATGAAGAAACAATCTCTGTTTCTTTGGAATCATTATTTTCTCTGTTCATTACAAGTAAGAGCAAAGTATTTCAGCGTGACTTACGGTCATGCTGTTCCACAGAAATATGCGTGCACTCGGACACAAAAGTAACCACAAAATACTGCAGATGTATTGAGCCACAGTCAAACCAGCTAGCACGGGTAATGTTATAAATTTAATTACAGCTTTGATAGGAATAAACTATCACAGACTGTATTTCTCCCTGCAGCTCAGCAGCGTCCAGCCTGACGCTGCACAGCAGTCTAAAGCTGCACAGCAGCCTAATGCTGCACAGCAGTCTGGCAGCGCCATCTACACACCACACAGCACATCTGAAGTTGTTTTCACACAAAGTACTAACCAGCAATTCAAGTCAGTAGTGATGTTACGGGGATGTTTACTATCCCTTTAGTCTCCCACATCCCAGATCTTTCCAGGCTTTGAGGATGGTTCATTATGACCTGGGCAGTTAAAAGTTTAACCTTACAAGAGAACGCAGATACAACTGTAGTCCAAACCTTAACTGTATCAGCAAGCTCAAGTTCACTACTGTTCACATAGGCTGCAAACCCAGCTAAAAAGTCATCTTCTTCAAAGGAGCCAATATCATCAAAATCCTGTCTCCATGCACCTGCATTGCCAACTGAAAACCTGGATGATTTACCTACAATAAAACACCACACTTGCCAATACATGACAGTCCTCACCTCATGCAATGTTTTCAGCTTGAGAAGCTAGCTTAAAAGTTTTGAGGTCAAGGATGCTACAACTAGATCCGTTATGATTTGAATCACAAGTATTTCAAAATAGGTGGCTAGGATCTTTCATACCTGGTTTCAGATGTCACGTATCTTAAATTCTTTCATCCATATATTTGTGCCAAAAACACAGTAGAGAAAAGTTGAAAGAAATCAATTTTTGGGACAGTGAATGACCCTACACTTATATCCTTTCCACTGGGAGAAGGCACAGACCTCAGAAATGTCAATACTGTTTTCATCTCCTGTTACCATCTAAACTCTGCATGAGGTAAAAGGAAAATGAAGTAGAATGTGGAGTAAAAGTGACAGTTTATGAACCTGTTACCAACAAAAAAAAATACTGTTTATTAGAATATCAATCAGTTTTTAGAACTTCTGAAAGCCTTTGTCCACCTTTAAAGTTATAATAATAACTACATTCACTAGGTGACTGTCAAATTCAGCTACTCTTTTTTGACACTAAGTGCCAAAACTCACACCCTAACTGACAAATGCTAGGACAAGTTTCACAGCATTTCCAGGTTGAAAAAGAGATTTTTAAAGAGCCACTAGAATTGAAAACATCCAACACTGTCATCTGTTATGGCTATACCACAGAGATGTTTCCCACTGATGCACGCCAGGTGTGCATTAGTTACACTGTCTCTAGTAGTATGATCACAGTAACATGAAAGCTAGAGGAAGGACCGCTAGACAAACTACACAACCCTCTTCCCAAAGAATGCCAGGGGTGATGCAGTGCCTCACTAAGTCCCACAAAAGCATGATCACATTTCTAGCTACATGCAGGATAGGTCATTTTTCTATGTAATTTAACACACAGGAATGATCCAACATAGCAAGGATGCCAGATTATTTCAGTCATGTGGTAAGACCCAAAATTACTCCTCTGTCATCTCACCTGAGCACTCACTTTAAATTTCATTCTGCTTTCTGAAGATTTGAGTTTGTTAATAAAAAAAAAGTCCACCTTATTTCTTCAAATTTCAATGCAAGTCCCCTGGTTCCAAATCCAGCAGCATACCTATATTCTTCTATTTTAGAACAAAAGCAGCTCATCCCAAGAAATCCAGAATTCTCCACTCTGTGTAAGAATATAAATCAATTCTGCCAAGCAATCACATTAAGATGGTGTAATCATCAGAATTAAGAGTGCATTGCTGGCAACCATTACACAATTAAAAAGGCTTCATCACATGTGAAAGAATGCTTGTGCTTGGTATTGAACAGTTACAGGCTATGAGATCTGGCTGAGGAAGTCAGCTTTATGAAGGTCCTGCTGGTCCAAGTATGAACATAAGGTACGATAACTGGCTTCATAAGAGATGTTGATCAGATTGGGAAACAGGGATCGTGGCAGTAAAAGTCAAAAAAGAGAAATACAATAGGACATCAAAAGATGAGTTGTGAAACGATGCGTCAAAGGGTACACAGCACATACAGTCTGCAAGAAGGGTACTTGCAGGTATTTTCTGCATGAACACTGAGGAAGAATCCGAATACATTTGATGGAATCCTAGCCCCAAAGCCCAGGGCCCTGGCTGGCCACCACGCAGCACTGTGGGCAAGTGAAACTGATAAACCACAGAAATGAAGAGAAAGTACGAGTAGTTTTCTGCACCTATACACTGCTTTAACCAACGAGAACAGAGATACTTGTCTCTTTGCAGTGACCTTGCTCAAAGAGGATAGCAACTATTGGCATCAATAACTACTGATATCTATCACTACATTCAATAGGTGATTGTGTAACGTTGTTTTAATTAAGCAACTATAATGAAAACAGAAAATGGAAAAACAAAGTCTCAATCAGTGGCAAGCCAAGGAAAAGATGTGCCTGCTGATTATGGTGAGGAAAGAGTAACTTAACTTCAATTTTTAAATACCAACTTCTGAAAGTCAGTACTACCCCCCACCCTACCAAGCAATGAACCCATTGCTCTATGGCAACTTCAGCCTTTCAGGAAAAAAAGCACAGAACCTAAGCACCAGCAGACACTAAGAGTTTCCTAAAACCTTCTGCAACAGACTTAAGTTTGAAGTCATTGAAGACATCTATTGCAAAATTCACTCCACAAGAGCTCATTAAGTAGTTTAACTTCCCATTGTAACCTGCTCTGAAGCACTATGTCTCAGTCTAGATTACAGAGTATGTTTACTAGACAACTAAAACAGACTGCAAAATGTTAATAATTACGAATTACCCCAAGATGCAGCTTAGTTGAAACTTAACTTTCATTCTAATAGGTGAGGAAAACTACCCCCTTTCACATGAGCAAGTAAATCTCTCCATGCTATTACTTCACTGAAGTATTGAAGCACTTTATTGGAGTACTTATTCATGAAGAACCAGTGACTGAAAGTACTCTCTGGACTATACCCTGAACAAGTTTAGGCAGGCCCAATTCTTGTCTCCTAAAAGATTTTAAGTCTTCATTTACTTTATACTGAATTCAACACCTGGCTAAAACTGCAGACAGTGGGCAGACAGAAGTCAAGACCATGAGAAAGATATGTATTTGAAACTACTGCTTAATAAAGCAGGAGCCAAAGTGGAGTGAGAGGGGTGAGACCATGACATAACCATTAAAATGGGCAAAAGCCAAAGAATTTAATGCACAAGAATTAACATTATGAATGTCAGATACAAACAACATTCCCCTGCCGCAGTTCCTCAAGGACGCTACTTACCTAAGTATCAAGCCACTGATACAGATAACTCTTATTTTAAAAATAAAAAGCAGCAGATATCAAGATATCACTCAGAAGCGGCACTTCTTTTAACTTAAACTTTATTTCTATTCTAAGTTCATGTTTTTTATAGTGGGGAAAGCGGTAGCTATCTACACGTTTCATGATTATGGCGTTGAAACTTAGTCTTAAAACAAATTAAAACAGAAACACCATACCTTATATAATGGACGCCGGACATCAATGGGACAGTTCTGTATAACTTCATCAACCACATCCGAAATGGATTCCATAAAATCAGGATTAGCAAACTAAAATGAAAAAGAACAGACACTAAGATATTTCCTCCAAAATGCAGAGAAATAAAAGGGCACAAATAGTAGTACTTTTAAATTAGGTAGGTAGGAATCAAAATCATAGAATCAGAGTGGTTTGGGTTGGAAGGGATCTTAAAGCTCCCCCAGTCCAACCCCTGCCATAGGCAGGGACACCTCCCACCAGCCCAGGCTGCTCAAAGCCCCGTCCAACCTGGCCTTGGACACTTTCAAGGAGGAGACATCCATAACTTCTTTGGGCAACCTGTGCCAGTGTCTCACTAACCCCACAGTAAAGAATTTCTTCCTAATATCCAGTCTAAATCTCCCCTCTTCCAGTTTAAAACCATTGCCCTTCATGCTATCACTACACTCCCTAATAAAGAGTCCCTTTCCATCTTTCCTGTAGGCCCCCTTTAAATACCAGAAGGCTGCTGTAAGGCCTCCCCAGAGGCTTCTCTTCTCTTCTCCAGGCTGAACAATCCCAAGTCTCTCAGCCCAGTCACTATTACAATTGGCATTGCTCACCAATTACTCTATTATTATATTATTACAACTATATATTATTACAACT